ACTTTGAGATATAAACCTATGAAGCAAACTGATAAGCAAGGTTTAAGGGCCCTATAATCTAAATGTAATGTTTTATTTACGTGACTACCTGACGTTCGGCGGCTACTTTAAGATTTGTCTGGCCATTGTACTCGTGAGCTGTACTTCGGGCCATGCTCAGGCTCATTTGCCCTGTTCTTTTCGGAATCCTTGTACCCAGACTCACTTACTGCCTTATTCCACCCTATAGAAAGCCTCGAGATGCCGCACTGATAGCAGCAAAAAGCGACCCGGGCGTATTTCCGACTTCTATCCTTGCACGTACCGTTTGTTTCACGTACCTACGGTGTGGAAAAGACGTATTCGCATTAGTGTTAAAGGCTCTCTAAATGCCTCAAAACCAAAAGGTCAAAAATGATTCCAGCAATCGGAGCCACCCTATTTCCGTGTTCTACAAACAAGCCATTAACAACTGAAGCGGCGGTGCTCTGTTTTTTCGGAATGTATGTTTTTAGCCTCACTTACTTCCTTCTACTTCTTGTAGCACTGCGCTAATATATGTGTATTTAATTATTTTTTACAATTCGGCTGGTGTTTTTATAAACATAAGGATTTGCATTTATTGCTGATCATTCCATATTTGAGCTCATACAATTGTGTTGTATAATTTCATCCATAAGTTTTAAATAAATTAAACACAGTAGCATAATTGATTTCCTTGCTTTATGTTTTTTGCTTGTGGAACATGCAATTCATTTTTACTTGCTTGGCTTGTGCCGTACACTATCGTAGGGCGCTCCTTCTGAGTGCATGTGTGTACGTGTTAATCGCCTGCGTGTCATGAATTGGGCTGTTGCGTTAGGCTTATGCCTCACATTAATCGTATCCTGGTTGCACTCAGTTGACGCGCTGAGGTTCGAAATAAAGAGTGGCGAGACAAAATGTATCCACGATGAGATGGATAAGGACGAAATTGTTATCGGTAACTATGAGATAACCGATGGACCTACCAGCAAAGTTTCCATCGAGGTCAGGGACAGCAAGCGTCATACATTCTTTCAAAAGTCGGACGCCACCAGTGGGAAGTTTACTTTCTCTTCTGAAGTTGAGGACTCTTTTGACGTTTGTTTCCACTGTGTTGGTGCAAGCGGAATTGTTGATACACGCGAGGTATTCATCGACATCAAACAGGGCGATGAGGCCAAGAACTTCGATGCCATTGCACAAGCCAAAGATCTCAAGCCTGTTGAACTTGAACTCAAGAAGATTGAGTATTTGACCGATTCTATCGTCCGTGATTTCGTTGCTATGCACAAGAGAGCCGATGCCATGCGTGATATCAATGGTATGGCTTGGTTCATTAGAACTAGATTTTTTTTATCTTCTTAGCACTATTAGTTTGTTCTATCTCTGTGTCTGCCTTTTTAGCCTCTACACATAGTCGTGTCCTGTACTTCTCAATGTTTTCCATCCTCTGTCTGGTCGCGCTTGCAGTTTGGCAGGTTCTCTATCTTCGAAGCTACTTCAAGTCGAAGAAACTCATTGAGTAGATTTGTGTTGTGTGTACAGACCTGTCATGGGAGTTCAGTTTTCCGCCTCGCCTTTTTTCATTACAACCCTGGTTCTTCTCTTTTACCTGTTTCTTGTCCTTCAATTTTCTACTTATTCATGTATATGAGTATGGTTGCGCTATGTTAATTATAAATGGCCAGTAATGCGAACTTACAAGTTTTTTTGTGATT